AGATATTCGCCCGTTAGTCGAAATTTCTACGCCATACGAAAAGACGGTACAAGAGGACGACACGTGTTGTACGCTTAATACATACATATATATTCATGTTATGTACAACTCTGTTGTAGTGTTATTTGTACCCCTTGCACACGCGTATGCTATAGAAGCGCGATACGGATAGAATGCGCGCGTACACGAGAGACTTCGTCGGCACGCTCGTTTGTTATAAACGCGCAAAAATAATTTTGCGCGTTTGCCGCGCAAAATACACGAAGTCTCCGTGAGAAATGCGCGCTTTCTTTTTTTTATATATTTTCTTTAATAACATTAGCCATTATCATAACAATAAAGACGTATCGATATATATTTTATATATAGAGATCGTCTAATTAAAAAACGATTACCCTGAACGGTGAATCACTTGGCTCGTGGGTCGATGAAGAACGCAGCTAATTGCGCGTCAACTTGTGAACTGCAGGACACATGAACATCGACATTTCGAACGCACATTGCGGTCCTCGGATACTGTTCCCGGACCACTCCTGGCTGAGGGTCGTATCAATTTAAAAGACTGCTCGGTTTCCTCTCCGATCTCTGTTCGCGTCGTCGTATTATCTCTTTATCCGAGAGACGACGACGACGACGACGACATGAGAGAGGAGAATGAAACGTCGGAGCGTGTTGGATGTAGACGCGGCGGTACGACGCGACGACGCTAGTTATTATATATTTATTTATGTAATATCGTAAACGTCGTCGTCTTTGTCGTCGTCGCGGCATCTCAAAACGCGAAAGCGACGATTCGTTCGTCATACGAACGAATCGTAAACTCACACATAGAACGAACACGCGCGCTGTACGGATAAAAATCGTAATAGCACTACATATATATATATATATATATATATATGTATATATGCTGTAGTCGTTACGCGTTCGAACTTGCGCTGCGATCGTCGTGTCCGAGAGAGAAATTATTTTTTTCGAGATAACGACGTCTGATCGCATATACGCGCTAAACACTAGAGAACGCTTTCGACTAGTAGTAGTATAGCAGCAGCAGCTATACGATTTAGTATTAGCGATCGCGTGTGACATATATATCTGTGTGTGGTGTGTGTTGTTATATTGTAACCGACCTCAGAGCAGGTGAGACTACCCGCTGAATTTAAGCATATTACTAAGCGGAGGAAAAGAAACTAACTAGGATTCCCTCAGTAGCTGCGAGCGAACAGGGAAAAGCCCAGCACCGAATCCCGCGGGTCGATATCGGGCGCCGGGAAATGTGGTGTTAGGGAAGGATCCGTTTATCCCGAGGTCGCGCGGCGAGTCCAAGTCCTTCTTGAACGGGGCCACAGCCCATAGAGGGTGCCAGGCCCGTAGTGGCCGCTGCCGATCGCGGGAGGATCTCTCCTCAGAGTCGGGTTGCTTGAGGAGTGCAGCCCTAAGTGGGGTGGTAAACTCCATCTAAGGCTAAATATGACCACGAGACCGGATAGCGAACAAGTACCGTGAGGGAAAGTTGAAAAGCACTTTGAAGAGAGAGTTCAAGAGTACGTGAAACCGTTCAGGGGTAAACCTAGAGAACCCGAAGGTCGAAAGGGGAAATTCATTCGCGTTTCGGCCGTCGGCGATGAGCGGTCGCGCGACGGACGGCGTTCGGCGCGTCGTCCGCGCCTTTCGCTTTTTCGATCCGGCGTCGAACGCGTGCACTTTTCCCCTAGTAGGACGTCGCGATCCGTTGGGTGTCGGTCTACGGCTCGCGGTGGAGTCCGTGTAACGATCGTTTCGGGCGATTCGTGCTCGAACCCGCGATGTTCCGGACGACTCGCTCGACGGTATACAGGATGGCGCGAGGCCGCTACTTCTTTCTTCAATTAGCGTCCGACCCACGACAAGCAACGTTCGATGCTTAAGACGGCGATCGGACCTAGCGCCCGGTTCCGTCCCCGGACGACTGTTGGGCCGTGCGGATTTCTCGGACAGACCTCGTTTGAAACGCCGATCTGCGACGCTATAGCTTGGGTAATTTCAGGACCCGTCTTGAAACACGGACCAAGGAGTCTAGCATGTGCGCGAGTCATTGGGACATAACTAAACCTAAAGGCGCAATGAAAGTAAAGATCCGCCTAGCGCGGATTTAGGGAAGATGGGCGGCACGTCTATAAAGCGGCCGCTCCGCACTCCCGGGGCGTCTCGTTCTCATTACGAGAAGAGGCGCACCAAGAGCGTACACGCTGGGACCCGAAAGATGGTGAACTATGCCTGGTCAGGACGAAGTCAGGGGAAACCCTGATGGAGGTCCGTAGCGATTCTGACGTGCAAATCGATCGTCGGAACTGGGTATAGGGGCGAAAGACTAATCGAACCATCTAGTAGCTGGTTCCCTCCGAAGTTTCCCTCAGGATAGCTGGCGCTCGTCTGTGACGAGTTTCATCCGGTAAAGCGAATGATTAGAGGCATTGGGGTCGAAACGACCTCAACCTATTCTCAAACTTTAAATGGGTGAGATCTCCGGCTTGCTCGAACTAATGAAGCTGCGAGAATCGAATCAGAGTGCCAAGTGGGCCATTTTTGGTAAGCAGAACTGGCGCTGTGGGATGAACCAAACGTCGAGTTAAAGCGCCTAAATCGACGCTTATGGGATACCATGAAAGGCGTTGGTAACTTAAGACAGCAGGACGGTGGCCATGGAAGTCGGAATCCGCCAAGGAGTGTGTAACAACTCACCTGCCGAAGTTACTAGCCCTGAAAATGGATGGCGCTGAAGCGTCGTGCTTATACTCGGCCGTCAGCGGCATGTGCGGTCTCGATCCGCGTAAAAACGGATCGGCCATGAAGCTCTGACGAGTAGGAGGGTCGCGGCGGTGCGCGCAGAAGGGCTGGCCGTGAGGCCGTCTGGAGCCGCCGTCGGTGCAGATCTTGGTGGTAGTAGCAAATACTCCAGCGAGGCCCTGGAGGACTGACGTGGAGAAGGGTTTCGTGTGAACAGCCGTTGCACACGAGTCAGTCGATCCTAAGCCCTAGGCGAAAGCCGATGTTGATGTGGCGTTGTTTTATAAATATATGTATGTATGTGTGTATATATAAAGAACACGCCCGTCGGGCGAAAGGGAATTCGGTTCCTATTCCGAAACCCGGCAGCGGAACCGTACAATAGTCGGGCCCTCGCAAGAGAGTTCGTCGGGGTAACCCAAAAAGACCCGAAGACGCCGTCGGGAGACCAGGGAAGAGTTTTCTTTTCTGCATAAGCATTCGAGTTCCATGGAATCCTCTAGCAGGGAGATATGGTTTGGAATGCGAAGAGCACCGCAGTTGCAGCGGTGTCCTGGTCTTCCCCTCGGACCTTGAAAATTCGGGAGAGGGCCACGTGGAGGTGTCGCGCCGGTTCGTACCCATATCCGCAGCAGGTCTCCAAGGTGAAGAGCCTCTAGTCGATAGAATAATGTAGGTAAGGGAAGTCGGCAAATTGGATCCGTAACTTCGGGATAAGGATTGGCTCTGAGGATCGGGGCGTGTCGGGCTTGGCGAGGAAGCGGGTCGCGGCTGACGTGCCGGGCCTGGGCGAGGTGAAACGTTCTGTCGTATGCGTTCGCGCGTGTGCGGTAGGATTGCGGATCCGAACTCGGTACCGTGCCTTGGCCTCCCGCGGAACCGTCTTGCTGCGAGGCCCAGAGTGCGCTCGCAAGGGCGTTCTGGTGTCCTCTTCGGCCGCCATTCAACGGTCAGCTCAGAACTGGCACGGACGGGGGAATCCGACTGTCTAATTAAAACAAAGCATTGAGATTGCCCCTGCGGGTGTTGACTCAATGTGATTTCTGCCCAGTGCTCTGATGTCAACGTGAAGAAATTCAAGCAAGCGCGGGTAAACGGCGGGAGTAACTAATGACTCTCTTGGCGGTCAAAGGTTTCCTGACCTCCACGCGGTGACTGCTGGCAACGCTCATCCACCCGCCTTACCTTTGGTTAGGCATTTGAACGAGGATGACGGCTAACTAGGAACCAGCCCCCCGATTACCCGGTCGGGGCCTGTCTGCGGACAGTCATAAGGGGTCGGTATGGAAACCGAGGGCGAGATACAGACCACCTGTATCTTACCCCTTAGGGGAAGACATGCACTTGGCCCAGCCAGCCAAGTTGCATAGTATCACAGGCTACGACTCGAATAAACATAGCCTCGGAAGATCGGGATGGTGATGGGCCCACACCATCCCAAATCCTAGACCAGGGGCCCATGATGATGGAAATGGCGATAACAAGGACATTGAGATTTTGCTCCCCTATATAGAAAGGTCATGCCCCCTATGCCTCAAAAGAAGCATTAACATCCTGCACATGACCTTAAATGATGAATAAAACATGTAAAATCTGATCACAAGGATATACAAATCAGATTCAAATGCAGGATGTGCTCAAAAATGTATATAGCAAAACATGCGGCACTGTGTCACGTCCCCAAGTGCCCGGTGGGAGCTGCTGCGGCAGCCCCACCTCCAGAGTCAACAGACTCAGAGACTGACGGAGTACCAAGTAACAGGCCTATACCCGAATCGGTAGGCGTGGCCTGCCCCGATTGCGGCGAAAGGTACTCCGGCCGCGGTGCACTAACACAGCACCAGCGGCACCGGCATCCACTCACCCGAAACGAAGCTAGGGCAGCGGGTACACGGCGGTCTCCTCGACAAGAAGATTGGTTATCTTTACTGAAGAGGAGGAACAAATAATGATGGAGTGCGAACTCCGGTACCGGGGTGAGTTGCGTATAGCAATGCGCATGCGGGAGTTGATACCAGAGAAAACTTTGAAACAACTCCGGGACAAAAGGGCCCAAAAATGCTACAAAGAACGGCGTGAAGGTACCTCGCAGAAAGAGGGATCACAGCGAGCGCTAGTACTGATGATGACAGTACAGAACCAGTATCCACAGACACAGGGGATGGTAGAGCTACCGTCCCCCAAGAAGAAGCGCCCGAAACCAACAGCTGCGAGGAAGCGGGAGTAGGGGGTGGCTCCCCTATCCCAGTCCCGGAGCTACTCGACGTATCAGCAGTAGCTGCCATTGCAGGGGGTGAAAATAACGTTAATAATATCACCCCCACCGCCGAAAACATAAGTCCGACTCAGACGCCTGACATGTCAGAGAGGGTACTGAATGTCAGTGTAGATGAGTTGTATCGCCAGCAGCTTCTCCAGAAGAGACACTTTGGAGACAGGATGTTGCTCAGACTGCCCGTAGCTGCAAGTTGACTCGAGCGGCACAGCAACATCTGGAGGTGAACACGGTCACCCAGCTGCTTAGAAATGCAATCTCCGAGGCTTGCGATTTGCCTATGGGGCAGCCCCAATCGCAAATAGATACTTTACATGATAGAGTCACCGCTCTCTTCGTCAGCGAGGAGCGGGGAGTTGCAGGGCGACGAAAGGGAAGGCGTAGAGGACAAAATAAGAGGGGTACAGACGGTACCTCTACGCCCGTACCCAGGATATTTACAAAAAAGAGCCAGGCATTCTTGCCAAGCACGTCCGTAACAACGTGGACTGGCTGGAGGAACCAGGGGTAAAAGCTCCAGCCCAAGACGTGCGGGACCTGTACAAAAGCTTTGGGGCACAAATCCGTCGGAAGTACAGGTGCCCTTCCTGGGAGAGCCCTCCGAACCGGCACTTGGGTTAGGTACTGTGCTAACCGCCGTGACGGTGAAAGAGGTGAACACGCGTCTCTCTCGGATGAAAATGTCCACAGCACCGGGTCCCGATGGTATTAAAAAGGGAGACATTAAACGCGTTCCTGGTGCAAACGAAGTCCTCCAGTTATTTTTCAATTTAATCATGATAAGCGGTAAGATTCCTACCGCCTGGAGGAAGAACCGAACTACTTTGATCCCTAAAGAGGGTAAGGACGGTATGTTAGCTGAAAGCTACCGTCCAATTACAATCTCTTCTTTAATGTCGAGAATTTACTTTGGCATTATTGACAGCAAACTTAGGGCAAAAGCACGGTTCTCACCCAGACAAAAGGGCTTCATGAACGAATCTGGGTGCTTCAACAACATCCACATCCTCAATGAGCTGCTGAGGCACTCAAAAGCCAAGAATGGCCTGGTCGTAACGCAGCTGGACGTGTCCAAAGCATTTGATACTGTGCCGCACCAAGCTATAGGACACGCGTTACGTCGCAAAGGTTTCCCGAACAGGTGGTACGTATCGTGGAAAATGCATATGAGGATGTAACTACTATTATAGAACTTAATCAGGCGCCAATCGAGATACGCCTCCAGCGGGGGGTCAAGCAAGGTGACCCCCTCAGCCCATTACTATTCAATCTAGTTTTGGAGCCCTTGCTAGATAAGCTGGAAACGAGACCTGGGTACAAAATCGACACAGAGACGCAGATATCGTCCTTAGCATTTGCCGACGATCTGCTCCTAGTCGCGCAAACAGTACCACATGCTAAGGACCAGTTAAGTAGCACGGAAGCATACCTATCGAGTCTAGGTATGAAGATTGCTGCCAATAAATGCCGCACCTTCCGTGTAAACCGTACCAAAGACTCCTGGTACTTAACTGACCCAGGCCTCGAACTCGACAGTGGAGAAGTGATACCGGTAGCGGGGGCCGGCGATCACCTTGTCTACCTTGGATGCAAGTTGTCTCCCTGGGTTGGGGTCACAACCGAGGGCATACGAGCCGACCTTGCTTCAACTCTTAGTCGTGTGCAACGACTAAAGTTGAAACCGCATCAAAAGATAGACTTAATCTCTACTTACATTGTTCCTCATTACCTGTATCAGTTGTCCATAGCGATGCCGGCTATGACACAGATAAAACTGATGGACCAGGAGCTACGGGTAGTGGTGAAGAATATTCTTCACCTGCCGCAGGCAACAACGAACGCCTTATTATACTGCGGTAAGAGGGACGGGGGACTTGCGATCCCGAGGTTGGAGTGGCTCGCCACCTCATCAGCCCTAAAAGCCGGCTTAAAGTTCGTGGACAACCCCGACCCGGCAATGCAAGCTCTTGCCACGGGCACTAAGCTCGAGAGTAGAGTGAGGCGACTCGCTCTCGATGCCCGGATAGCTTGGCCAGTTACTGGGGAGCAACTGACCAGCTATACTAGAACGCAAAAGAAGGCTGAGCTTGCCAGATGGAAGCGCCTTGGTTCTCAAGGAAAGTCGGCAGCGGCCTTCGCCGACTCCAGGATCGGAAACGCATGGCTTAGGGACCCCTCGTTGCTCAAGCCATGTCGTATGATTACAGCCCTCAAGATGAGAACCAACTCATGTGCTGACAGGGCGGCCATGAGCAGAACGACCAGAATACCGGATCCTACATGCAGGCAATGTGGTTCGCAAATTGAGACATTGGGACACATATTGGGGCAATGTCGTCACACGAAACCACATAGGATTCGAAGGCACGATGAGATCAAAAACCTCATCGTGGAAGAACTTAAAAAGAAAGGCCCAGAGGTGGCAATAACGGTTGAACCGACGTGGCGGCAACCGGAGG